GGAACATTTGCGATGAAGCTTGTCTTGACAACTGCTACACCGGATTCGAATACGTACATGTGTATGGTGTGAAGGAAAGTCACAAACTACTGCCGATCTGGATGTGGTAACATAGGCTTTGGACTGGTTGACACAATCCATTACCTCGATCGATATTATTCCCATAGAGGACCCGCGCTTGTGGTTTCCTGCCGGTGGCGTGTACCTTAAAATGTCTGCATGTTCAAGGTAGTCACGTTCTGTGCTTCTGGCCAGGGCGAGGCAGGTTTAAGCAGCTGGATCGTTCACGCTGCAAACAGAGCGTCTGAGTCATACGGACACAACGTGTGCGATAGATGCTTTGATGAACGGTCCACGGCTTTGGTTACTGATTGGAAACATTCATCGGTTGTGTTTTCGCGGCAACGGCACAAAAATCGCAATGTGTCGATAAAAGGGGATCCACATAAACTAGATCCGAAAGGTGGAGTGTCATAGATAGTGCTGATGAATCTGGGTCGAAAGAGTGTGAACACAGGTTTGTGTGGGAAAATGCAACTCAGAACGGAGGCAAAACTTGTTTATAGATGAGCGATTTGAAAACAGGTTCGTTCAAGTTCGTAACCTCTTCAGTGATGTTAGGTGACACGCGATAGGTATTACGTTACAGATTAATGATAGGTTTAACGGGTAACACTCAAGCTGTGATAAATCTAAGTATTAAGTAGCAAGGGATGGAGCAGTGCCACAAACAAGTCTTGTAGAAAGAAGGCCACCTCGCTTCGGTGAAACTTCATTCGATGGAGTGACCAAGAAAGATCACAACTGAGGGTGACAGCTAGAAAATTCACTGACTCAGTAACTTGAAACCTCTCATCATCTCTGTGCATTTCGGGGAAGTCAATGGGAAGTTGCTGAAAGTGACTGCATTTGTGAAGGGAAAATAGAACGTCAGTGATTGTTACGCATTCAGCGATGAAACGTGAGCTCTGGACCACGATTCCTGGTTTACCAGGTAAGCGTGTATTTTGACTGATGAGGCTGCGGTCGAACGTTACGTATCCAGAACAAATCGTTTGTTTATATCAACAATATCGCTTCATGAGAAGGGAGAAATGAAGTGTCGTAAGTAGAA